ACGGTCCGGCATATTAGATAGTACCAGGGTACGTTCCGGCAGTAACCCGGGGGACATAGACCCTCTCAGCGTAACTCACTCGTGCAGTCCTTCGCTCCTGATATAGTGTGATATACGACCCCACAGTTCTAGGAAACGGCAGTAAATCTCACTAGCACCGCCGCTATTTCAATCAGGCATGGCCACGTATATGTAGTTTTGGTTTCTGGTTACAAAACCGATAAACGGCTGACGAAATTACGGTGAGTTTGATTTGAGAGTGCGCAGGCTAAAGTCATTAAGTTCGTGTTGCTGGCTATCGTGTTATTTCTCTATGGTATTACGGAGTATAGCTTAGCCGACCATGCTGCAAAGATTCAACGCCGGTTCCCAGCACTGCTGTTCGTACAGTCCTGTAGCAAGACAGTCGCTAAAAGAGTTCATGTCTGCCTGCATGGGTAGAAATAGAGGAGGGAATTGGCGGGAACTTTGTTGTCCGTAATTCCTCCTCCTCCTCCTCCTCCGACTTATCCTTCTCCTTCTCCTCCTCCTTCTCCTCCTCCTCCTCCAACGACGACGACGACGATGACGACTTATCCTTCTCCTTCTCCTCCCCCTCGTCCTCCTCCTCCTTCTGCTCGTTCTGTTCTTCCTCCTCCTCCTTCTCCTCTTCCTTCACCTCCTTCTCCTCCTCCTCCACATTCTCATTGAAACTATCTTTTGACAAAGTTATCCTCAGATGAAGTAATGCTTAAATGATGCCACGATTTAGCAATACCATCCGCGCCTACACGAAGCCATATTCGCGCTCTGAAGCACCTATCACCACTCATCCTGCCTCTTATCACCCCATCGCCTCCCATTCTGCTTCTCATCACCCCATCGCCTCTCATCCGAGTGCTGGCTGCTCCGCATCGGCAGGTGCGCCTCAGATCGTGCATCTTGACGAGCCGGTGCGCTGCTACTTCTCCGCCTGCATGGGCTTCAAGATTCTTGGCAACCCGCTGCCGGAGATGCTCTGGTACAGGAACGGGCGTCTGCTGGAGGTGTCCGACACGCTGCGCTCCGGCAGCAACCTGTTCAACGAGCTGCTCAACGTGCAGACGGCGAGAATCTCAGGTACGGAGAGAGAGGGGGAGAGGGGGAGGGGAGAGAGAGAGGGGGTGTGAGAAAGAGAGAGAGAGAGAGGGGAGAGGGGAGGGAGAGAGAGAGGGCAGAGGGGACGGAGAGAGGGGAGAGGGAGGGAGAGAGAGGGGAGAGGGGAGAGGGAGAGAGAGAGAGAGAGGGTAGGAGAGATAGGGAGAGAAGAGAGAGAGAGAGAGAGAGAGAGAGAGAGAGAGAGAGAGGGAGAGAGAGATAGAGAGAGAGAGTGAAAGAAAGGGAGAGAGAGTGAAAGAGAGAGAAAGGGGGAGAGAGAGCGAGAGGGCGAAAGAGAGCAAGAGAGAGAGGGAGAAGAGAGAGACAAGAGAGAAAGAGAGAGAGAGAGAGAGAGAGAGAGAGAGAGAGAGAGAGAGAGAGAGAGAGAGAGAGAGAGAGAGAGAGAGCGAGAGAGAGAGAGAGAGAAATAAAGGGAGAGATAGACGGAGATGTGCCCAGCCGTGATCTTTGTAATCGTTTTTTAAAATTATTATTATTATTATTATCATTATTAATAATTACTATTTTTATTATTATTAGATATTATTACTATTATTGTTGCTGTTACTGTCATTATTATTATTATTATTATTATTATTATTATTATTGTTGTTTTTTAAGTTTGCCTGTGATAATTCTAACGCCGGGTCGGCGTGCTGTTCTTTTAGGGTTTCTCGGCTTCCGTGACACGATGCCGGCGGACAATGGCAACTACACGCTAGTCGCCTCCAATATGTTCGGTTCGGTGAACCGCACCGTCGAGGCGATTCTAGTGAAAACAGGTAATTATCCAAATACATACAGAGAGAGAGAAAGAGAGAGGGGGAAGGGAGAGGAGAGTGTGAGAGAAGGGGGGAGAGAAACAGAGGGAGAGAGAGAGCGCGCGCGAGATGAGAGAGGAGATAAGGCACGAGCGAGACACACATTCACACACCACACACACACACACACACACACACACACAGCCACAGCAACACCACCGTCACACCCACAAGACACACACACACACACACGACACACACACACCACACACAGCACACACACACAGACACACACACACAACACAGACAGAGAGAGAGAAGGGCAGAAGAGAGAGAGAGACCACCACACACACACACACACACCCACACACACACACACACACACACACAGAAAGACAGAGAGATTCTGCGAGAATTATTCCTGCGAATTTCATCCGAAGTGGTGGCGTCGAAGGTCGAAGGTCAGAAACACAGCAGGCAGCTGGACACAAGGCAGACCAAGATCGTGCATAATGCGATGATGCTGATGTCTGATGCATTCTCATGAATATAGTACTTGGTGCAGATGGTTCGTTCGTGATTGCTGCATCAATACTATGTTCGTGACAAAGCCAGATTAACCACAGCAGCAACTACACGGCATTTGCTCTGATAGCTGCTTACTATATTTTTTTATAGTTTGCATGAAGGTAGTGGAATGCACAATCGCCACAAGAACATATAGTCGCTGTACATATATCATTATTAGTATTATTTATTTATTTGTTTGGTTATTTATTTATTTAGTTACTTATATCATTATTCATTTATCTACTTTTCATATATTTGTTTTTCTCATATTTATTATTTTTTCTTCATATTTAAATTTTTCTTAACTTACTTTCAGGGCCATCGATATTCGGGCCGGACGTGCTGCCCTTTACTCCGAGCAGTGATGCAGACGCGGACTATAAGGCCATCTTTAACAGTGATCTGTTAGAAGACCCGAGTGACATGACCACGGTATGTATAGACTATAGCGAGGGGCTACACGGGTAGAGCTACGGTGAGCGTGAACTGTGGGGTCGTATAGCCCTGTAGCGGGAGCAAAGGACTACAACGGGAAAGCTACGGTGAGCGTGAGCTATGGGTCGTATAGCCTCTAGGGGGAGCGAAGGGGCTACACGGGTAGAGCTACGGTGAGCGTGAACTGTGGGGTCGTATAGCCCTGTAGCAAGAGTGAAGGGCTACACGGGTAGAGCTACGGTAAGCGTGAACTGTGGGTGTGTATAGCCCTGTAGCGGGAGGGAAGGGCTACACGGGTAAGCTACGGTGAGCGTCAACTGTGGGATCGTATAGCCCTGTAGCGGGAGGGAAGGACTACACGGGTAGAGCTACGGTGAGCGTCAACTGTGGGTGTGTATAGGGCCCTGTATGGGAGCGAAGGGCTAGCAACGGGTAGAGCTACGGTGAGCGTCAACTGTGGGTTTGTATAGCCCTGTATCGGGAGCGAAGGGCTAACGGTAGAGCTACGTGAGCGGGTCAACTGTGGGTTTGTATAGCCCTGTATCGGGGAGCGAAGGCTTACACGGGTAGAGCTACGGTGAGCGTGAACTGTGGGTGTGTATAGCTATGTAGCGAGAGCGAAGGCTACACGGGTAGAGCTACGGTGAGCGTCAACTGTGGGATGTGTATAGGCCCTGTAGCGGGAGCGAAGGCTACACGGGTAGAGCTACGGTGAGCGTCCAACTGTGGGTGTGTCATAGCCCTGTAGCGGGAGCGAAGGGCTAGCACGGTAGGCTACGGTGAGTGTCACTGTCCTTATAGCGGGAGGAAGGGTAGAGCTAGAGTAATGTCAGCCTCACCCTGCCGCGGTGCAGCGACCCGGTGAGTGATTGCTGCTGACAGCTAGCTGCATCATTTGCTGTCGCTGTGACAGCCACGCCGCATCGGCTCACCGATCCTCCTCCTCTTCCTCCTCCTCCTCCTGCCTCCTCCTCCTCCTCCCGCTCCTCCTTCTCTTCTCCTCCTCCTGCTGTCGCTGCTGCGCTGGCTGGGCTACTACTACTACATACGACTAACTACTGCTGCTGCTGCTGCTGCTCTCTGCTACTGTTGCTGCTGCTGCTGCTTCTGCTGCTGCTGCTGCACTCTGCTACTACTACTACTACTACTACTGCAGCTGCTGCTACTGCTGTGCTGCTGCTCGCTGCTGCTGCTGGCTTGCTGCTGCTGCTACTGCTGCTACTGCTGCTGCTACTACTACTACTATACTATCTGCTGCTGCTGCTGCTGCTGCTGCTGCACGTGGAATCGATTAACGCCGCGAGTTGTAGAAACGACGTTGACACGTCTACTCTGCATCACGCCTCGCCCCTTCCCCCTCACCACACATCCTCATCTGTCCTCTCCCCCTCCTTCTCACCCTCACGCATCCTCATTTGTCCTCTCATGGCGTGCGCGGATCGTTCTCCCGTTACAATCGAGAGCGAGTGACGTGGGATTACAAGTGTTACTTTTTTCTACTTGCGCGAGTGGTTGAACGAGGTCGTAATCGCTCCCCCCTCTCCCTCCGCCGTCAGCACAGTAGTAAGCCGTCGACTCTTATAACTCGACTGCCTACTGCTACGTTCTGTAAACAACCGCAGGAAGGTTAGAATTAGGTTATACGGGATTCGGCTTTACTTTACAAACCGTTTACTAGCACACCAGTCATTCGCAGTTATGTTTACATCTCAAAATGTTGACGCACGCACGCACGCACGCACGCACGCACGCACACAACACACACACACACACACACACACACACACACACACACACCACACACAGAGAGAGAGCCAGGCGCGCGCACGCACACAAACAGAGAAAGAGAGAGAGAGAGAAAGAGAGAGAGAGAGAGAGGAGAGAGAGAGAGAGAGAGAGAGAGAGGAGAGAGAGAGAGAGAGAGAGAGAGAGAGAGAGAGAGAGAGAGCTTTTCAATATCCCGCTGACGGGTCGAGACGTCACTTTCAGGTGTACATCGTCGTGGGCGTCGTCACGGCCGTCGTCGTCGTCTTCGCCGTGCTCGTGGCGCTGCTCGTGCGCTACCTGCACGTCTGCAAGAGTCGCATGCGCAGCACGGAGAACGCGCAGATGCTGCACGGATGCAAGACGGTGTTCCAGAACGAGACGATCCCGCTCGTCTACAACCCAAACTACGAGAAGACGGCGCTCAAGGAAGACAAGCAGCTGACTGCAGGTAGATCGCAGCGCCACCGCCGCTGCATGCGGGCAATACGGTTAGATCAATCTAGGAGAGAATGAGAGAGTGTGTGGAGCGGAGAGAGGAAGCGAGAGAGAGAGAGAGAGAGAGAGAGAGAGAGAGAGGGCGAGCAAAGGAGAAAAAAATGAGAGAGAGCATGCACAGGAGAAAGAGAGGGGCGAGTGAGGGTGGGAGAGAGAGAAAGAGCGAGAGTGCGAAGGAGAGCGAGCGCGCGAGCGAGAGAGAAAGAAAAGAGCTCGCGAAACCGAGAAAGCGAGCGCCCGTACGCGCGTGCGAGACACAAGACATATAAACAGCAAAAAAAAAAAAACGTTTACACACTCTTTATAACATGCGTTATTACACGCGTTAATGTAATTACGTCACCGTAAATAGTAAAACTAAAAAAAAGGTAATTCTGTTCACTTTTTATGGTTAGATTGCTGCATTATACTTCGTATTTTATTGTACGATGTAAACATACACTCGTGACTCATACATAGCCCATAGCAAGCAATTAATGTCAGGATCATAATATCAAATCATAATATCTAAGTTTTTTTTATTTTTAACTAGTTGAGAAACAATCTTATCAGATAAGAATTTGACGATACATTTAGTCCCGTTAGTACTTACGTTTAATGTAAAAAAATGGCAACAAAATTTTTACAAATATACACCATAGAAAATTCGTGACATATAGTCAATTTAACACGCGCGTACATTACTCCGCAGCGATCCCGAGCATGATGCGCGAGAACATACAGTTCATCAAAGAACTTGGCGAGGGCGCCTTCGGGCGCGTCTTCCTCGGCGAGTGTCGCATGGACGACGGCAAGAAGCTCGTCGCCGTCAAGACGCTCAAGTCGCAGTCGACGGAGAACGCGATCAACGAGTTCTACGCCGAGGCGGAGATCATGACGAACCTGCAGCACGGCAACATCGTTAGCTTCTACGGCGTCTGCACCGACGGCGAGCCGCTCATGATGGTGTTCGAGTACATGAAGAACGGAGACCTCAACAACTACCTGAGGTACGTGAGCAGTCATGGCGGCGCTGGGTCGCCAGGGGGCGGTGTGTCGCTAGGGTGCGCAGCGTCGCCAGAGAGGGTAAGCGGGCTAGGGAGCGCAGCGTCGACATGCGTGATGCGTATGTTTAGAATGTTCTTTCTATTTTTCTATTTTCTCTTTAACCTTTTCTCTTGCCCTTCCCCATCTCCCCCCTTTCTCTCTCTCTCTCTCTCTCTCTCTCTCTCTCTCTCTCTCTCTCTCTCTCTCTCTCTCTCTCTCTC